AGCTTTTGGTCCTTTTGGGTAACATTCATGACCCTCACTGGTACTTCTTGACAGTCCTGAACTAGGGTCCTGGCCACGTAAATTCCTTCAGGAGGGTGGGCCTGGGGGCTTGGTTCTACTAGACCGTTCTCTACTCCCAGGTGATTTTTTATTTTAGCCATCACTATTCCCTCGCTCCGTGCGGGTATCACATGGTCCTTTGCCACTACTAAGTCAGAATGATGGGGTCCTGCCCCAGGACTCCATAGCGATACTTCTTCTTCCGCCAGACGCAGAGTTTGGCGTCCTATATCCACTGAAGCATCGTAGGCGCGTAGTATGTCCAGTCCTAGAATGAGCTCATCGGTGATATTCGCGACGAAAATCCACATCGTAATAGGTTGGCGCCCTAGGGTAAGGGTCAACAGAACTTCTTTCAGTATGGGCAGGGATCCTCCAGACACGGTCTGTAGCGAGAAATCTGGATTTGGCTGTCTTTCAGGCCATCCGGCGGCGATATCCGGTCTTACCACCGTGACGTATGCTCCAGTATCCACTGTCACCTGACACGGCTTATCACCGACCCATCCCTGGGTGACCAGACTGGTGTTGGCTTTCTTCGTCATGTCGGTGAGTGCGTAGTGTGGGGGCCTTAACGCATATGCCGGCGTTCGCCCATCTCCGCCGGCCGTCGCTCGTTTCCCGACGGTTGGTCCTTTCTCCAGCTTGTTTCCCTGTTGTTTCTGGGTCGCCATTCTGAATTCACCGGCGATTTCTGTTTATTCTTTGGAGGCCCTTCCCTTCGGTCCTGATGCTGTCTATTGTCATCTCCTCTTTGGGTGTGGAACGATCGGAACTTTGTGTTATCTCCGTGAGTTCTGGCTGCTACCAGTAACGCCTGCAGCTCTAGCGCTTGTCGGAGGGCCTCGTTTACCGTCTTCTCCCCTCCCAGCAGCAGCTGGATCTTAATATCGGCATCTCGTATGCCGTATACGAACGCTTTTCCTGCCTCTCTTCCATTGTGGTTTGCAGGTAGAATGGGGTAGGCACGGAGGGCGAGCAGTTCAATGGCAGTGGCAAAATCTTGCAGGGATTTTGCAGGCTTTTGCGTCCTTGTTCTTAACTGGCAGTGGTAAGCAGCTGCAAAGTGTTGGTCCCCGAAACGGTCCTCTAGAGCCTGAAGAGTTTCCTCGTAAGTTGTATTTGCCGGAATGCCGGGTAGTATTTCCGCCGCCCGACCCTTCAGGGCCGTAATTAGGTACGTTGATTTTTCCTTATCCGTCCATTGGTTGTGCTCTGCTACGGTCTCGAATTGTCGCCGGAACACACTCTACGTTGAATTTTTGTAGAATGTCGGTGGCTGAGCTGTGCTCGCGCTGACCGTGATTCCCCGCTTGGTCCTCGTCTGTACTTTTTTCAAACGGGCCTGGAATTCGCGTTTAGTTTTCGTTACTTCTTCCTGGAGTTTATCTGTCCTCGCGCAGAGGCATACTTCCACTGACTTTAGTTTTTGTTGTGTTTTTCCCGTTCTTTCTGTAAGCTCCTGAAGCTTTCCGTCTGTCCTGGCTTGGTTGACGTCCATCATCTTTTTTAGTTCTCTTCGGTCGGTCTGTCTGACGTCCTCCAATCTGGCCAATAATTCGCCGAGGCCGATCTCCGCCTTTTCTTGATAGGAGTCTAATTTGGCCAGGAAGTCTTCCCTGTCTTTTTTTCGGTTGGCTTCCATTTTGTCTTTCATCCGCAAACGGTCGGCATCTGCTTTTGCTAATATTTTGATTACTCTTTGCATCTCCATTTTGTAGCAGTAAAGTACCTGATGCACAACAATCTGTTTGTGGCGTGTTTAAGNCTGAAATACACACTCCGAGTATAACTGTACTACAGCAATCACTATGTCTGGAAAGCACACAATAAGTCTTCCTCTCGCTGACTTCTTAGTTATCGCACACTCGCAGGCTGCTATGTTGCAACTGAACTGGTAGCTGCTGTGGACTCCACTTATATAGCCTTGCGCTGTTGCTAGTGTGACGTGGCGTATAGCCTAGGACGCTGTTGCTAGTGTGACGTCACCGTTGTTGATTAGCATTGCGTAGTTGCCAGGTTACGGGGCTCGGCTATCTTCGGCTCCGCTCGGCTATCTTCGGCTCCGCTCGGCTCTCTTCGGCTCCGCTCGTGACGTCACCGCGCATAGCTGCCAGAATGCGGGGTGATTACTCGCCTATTACGCGAGCGTTACGCTACCGCTGAGGGGTGGGAGGGGAGCGCTGACTCACCCGCCGCGTCACTGCTGATGTGGGGGGGGGGCTCGGCTTTGCGCAATATGTCACAATATACATATATAAAGAGCATAAACTGCTGTACCTAGCCTGGACTGACAGAGGATATGTATATATTGTACATAGAAGTAATGATTAAGTGTGTATTTGTAAATGTATGTAAATACAGACAATAGACTTAATACAGACTGACTGACAGATGACAGACCCGACCTCTCGTCAGACAGGACGCTACACATGGACAGGACAGTAACTTTCATTGAAAGGAAATATCTGGTCATGAGCGCCAGCTGGGGCTCGGCACCAAGACAAACAGACTGACCGACCGTCAGTTGTAACATGACCCTCGCCCTCGCAATCTGATTGGTTAGCGCGCGTGATTTTGAAAACTAACGTGAAGAGTGTGCGTTGCAGAAAATGCGTGAGAAAGGACAGTGAGATTATCTGACGGCCTCGAAAAAGATTATTCTGCTTCTTCGGATAGGACTTGAAAAGATTGTCTGTTTGTTTAGGTGTACTTTCTTACTGGCACATAACTTGTGAGATTGTATGTTTGAGAAGGAGTGAGATTGGTTCGGGAGACGTTTTCGGAAGGAGTTTGAGCGGTCCCAGGTGACCATAATCTTGAGAGTTCGTCTGTAGCCACATAGTTACTATTCTCTTACCAGTGCATAGCGCGTCACTAGGGCATCGGTGGCCGTCCCGTCTGCAACGGACAAAATGGCGTAGCCGACATCATGTGAAACACGGTGGAACGCAATCGTGTCTTAGTTTGACAGGAACCACATGAACTTAAGAAACAGTAATCCAGACTGCCAGGAAGATATCGACTTACTGGTGTAAGGATTACAAATGATTGGACAGCTTATCCATACATCGCCCTCAATAAACGGAAACGTCACAGTATGTAACAAACTTATATCAAAATCCGAGGCCGAGAGGACAGTGCTGTGTAAGCACCTCGAGGGCAAGACGCTCTTCACAGTCATGCTGCGCCTCTATGCTGCCATCCACAGGGAGATGAGAGAGTCTCTCCTGCTAGAAGGAAAAGAAGATTCAGTTGAGGATTTTCGCGAACAAAGGAGACGTAAGCGAAACTCCTCAGGAGAACAATCTAAGAAATCGAAACAATCACCTGCCCCCCGGGATCCTAGATTAAAATCGAAGAATAAAGTTGAATTTAAGAACTACTTTGCGCCCCTGAGGACGTCAGGTATGGACGTGGAAGAGTCTACCAATAAGCCGGGAGAGCAGCAACAATCGGACAAGTCAGGTAGGCCGCCTCCAATTGTATTAACCTCCACAACAAACCTGATGCAGTTGCAGAGGAAGGTCAAAGAACTGGCCACGGGCAATTTTGAGTTCCGCAACACCAGGAGCGGGACCAGAATTGTGACGAAGGAAATGGCGGACTTCTCAGCCATCAAAACCTTCCTAGAAAGTACCAATCTATCGTAATTTACATTCTTTCCCAAGTCCGAAAAGCCAATCAAAGCAGTAATCCGTCAACTTCCACAATACACTCCAGCGGAAGATAACTCTGACGGACTGGTGAGTCTGGTGTTTGACGTCATTAGCGTCATACAAATGACCAGTCGTCGGACTCCTCCAGAGGGAACAGATAATATCTTCCTTCCCTTTTTCCTCATCACACATCCTAGGACGGAGAAGTCCCAAGAAGTCTTCCGCCTGACCAACCTCTGCCACATTGCCATCAAGGTAGAGGCATACAGAGCACAGAGCGGGCTCACACAATGTTACAACTGCCAGCAGTTCGGCCAAGTTTGGGCTAACTGCAAACAGCCCCCACGTTGTTTGTGGTGCGGAGGTGGCCACTTACACAAGGAGTGTCCAGAGAATAAGAACTCTGCCTCCACCCCAGTATGCCGCAACTGCCGGTTGGGGGAAGGAGAAAAG